AGGAACTGATGACCTGACAAATAGCACTTTATTTACTAAGCCAAGTATTTAAGGATTCTGGAAACTGTGTAGAAGATTCATATTTTAATTGTGATAAAAATGTTATCACAGCTAGGCTATTTTTCAATTCAGGTTTCTAAAGAACTATCTCCTAGATATCTGTATGAGATTGCTGACACAGTGTTATACAGTAGACACAAGAATGCAAGCAGAGGTGAGCTGATAGGCTGGCTACAAATTTTCAAGTTCATTTTCACTGTAATGACAGGAGAGGAATGCCAGGCTGAGAAAGCAAAAAAACCCCTAATATTTCAGTAGATAGGGCAGCTTGGGGACAGTCTGATATGTTGTAATAATTCAGTGACAAGCATTTTTTGTTAGTTTCCCTGCTGTGATTATGAGGCTATAAGAAAAAGGTATCATTAATTACAGATTTATTATCTTGCATGGTCCTCCTTACAAGTTACTGGCATTTAAGTGCAAATTAAGTAATTTTTCTGAATAACAAAAACATCATGACTGACAACAGCAAGATTTCTCGAAAGTACATGTAGCTGGGTAGAAGACCAGAAGAGTTGCTATCTCTTCCTTTATGTTTCAATTCCTTGCCTTGTATTTGCCTGCTACAGACTAGTGGCAACACATCACGTATCTAAGGGCATTTTTATCCCCTTGACAGAAGCCATATCTTAGATGAAATGAGGTAGAGTAGTCGTACCAGAGCTCTTTAAAATTGCTGACTTGGGAATTGCTGACTGTGTGGTGGCTGAGAGTTCAGCATAAGTGCAGCCCCTAAGTATTCACCTTATTTCTCAGCTGTATTTTGCAGCCAATACCAAGTTCTTCATTGCTACAGCTGAGCTGCTTCTAGATTTGAAGATGGCTCACTAGGTCTCCTTGACCTGCAGCCACAGTAAAGTTATACAACTGGAAAAAATAGGTCCTTGAACTAGAACTCCCTTATCCAGGAATGATTTTCATGCAGTTTACAGACAGCAATGCCTCTTCCTGTTATTGAGATGCTGTATTAAAACCTTCGTTAATCTGCACGGCCCCAATACTGAGCCCTGGGGAACACCACTTGTGGCTGGCCACCAACTGGATTTAATTCCATTTACTGCAACTCTTTGGGCCCAGCCATCCAGCCAGTTTTTTACCCACCAAAGAGTACACTTGTCCAAGCCATGAGCAGCCAGTTTCTCCAGAAGAATGCTGTGGGAACCA